CCGCCAATCTCAGTGAAGCAAACGTTGTCACATATAGTAGCCGAGGCAGTCTTATAGCACTCACTGTCCCTACGTTGCTTCTTTTCGTCTGTGTGGGCAGCCACTACCACTGTTTGACATCATGAGTTCATTTCTTCATCCATCTTCTTTCGAATGCAGCTTGTACAGCACCATATATAATCAATGAGAGGCTTTGACAAACTTTTTCAGTAGTCCCGGGACATATGAAAACCCTCTATTCCTGAACAAGTGAGACAGCATAATAATCCCGATTGTTTTTAGGTGAAGTGGGAACTCGGAACTGGTAAAGGACGTCATTAAGGCGGCCATGTCGCATAACGTCCCCCTGGCGGCAACAGCAACCAGAAACCGAACCTCATGGCTAAAATGGAGCACTGAGAGCCTTCTGAAGGTCAAGAGGAGGGTGTGACACACATGGGACTCTCCAGAGAACAGGACGACCATGACGTATACATGGCTCTTCAGAATCGGAGAGACATCAGGTCGTTCCAGTGCAACCTCACCAAGAGGCTTGAGGTAAACCCCAAAAGCCCATGCCGATTCACGGCAAACAGAAAATCGACAAGCCGAGGAGCATTCGTCATAAAGGTCCGAACGGAGAAAACTTCTCTGAACGGGAGACCACCGAAATGTTGAGCACCACACTTGACACACAGCTCAACATTCCATCAGGAAATTACGCACACCACCTGCCCGAACAGCCCCCAACGTTACCCGGCGCTGCGGAGTTACACGAAATACAGATAACTCGCGCCGTTGTTCTCGACAAGCTATCAAAGCTGAGCGCGGGAAAATCCCCAGGGTGCGACGACATCTGCCCATCTGTGTTGAAAGAATGTGCAAGTACCCTAAGTGGCCCACTCTGCGATCTCTTCCAACACTTTGATTGAACAAAGGCTCCCACAAGAGTGGAAACGGGCTATCCTTTCTCCCATCTTCATGGAGGGAGACAGGCAGAATCCCAACTGTTACAGACCCATAGCAATTCTACCAGTAATACCAGAAGTTATGGAAAGTGTGATGGATGACTGTATCAGGGAATATCTGGACACTCAGCGACGCTCAACGTGGCTCCGGAAGGGAAGGTCCTGTGCCTTCAACCTACTGCCGGCCCATGGTCTTCGGACAGCATGCTGGGATCTCAGGGTCCTGTTCCACACCATTTTTCTGGATTTCACCAAAGCCTTTGAAACCGTCTCACACACGATCCTAATACATAAGATAGCTGGGTTAGGTGTACGCAGCCAGGTGCCATCGCGGCTGCAGAACTACATAGACAGTCGGGAGTTCTGCGCGAATGTCAAAAGGGTCTACTCAACTTGGAGAACATCCCCATCCGGCATCTCACAAGGAGCAATCTTGAGCCCACTGTTGTTTCTACCGTTCATGAATAGCCTGCCACTACATATCAGACCTCCGATTTTCCTGTACGCCGATGACGTCAGGTTATGGAGGGCAATAACTTGCAAAGCGGGATAGAAAGCATTACAGAACGACCCAAAACACTAGAGGAATGGGGAACTGATGACGAACTGGCATTTAACCTGGATAAGTGCCGGTCCATATTTTACCGCGCTTCTGATCTCCAGAAAGTATCCTGCCATCTCTGTGGTTCACGTCTATCCCGTACAACAGTAGATAAAGACCTGGGTTTAACGGTGACGGAGAAACTGGACACCAGTTCCAATTAACCAGGTGATACCTCAAAAGCACTGCGTGTACTACACTCTTTAAGCAGACAACTGGGTGCCCTCACCCCAGAACTCTTTTTATGGCTCTATAAGACTTACGTATGACCCCACTTGGAAGTCCATAATATCTTCTTTCCACCACGACTGAAAAGAGGCACGAACCTGCTAGAGAAAGTCCGGAAGCGAGGCACAAAAGGGGTTGTTGGGATCCAATTAAAACCATATGAGGATAGACCGAAAGATCTAGGCCTATACTACCTTAGCTATCGAAGGTTACAAGGTGAACAACCCGAGTCACCCAAACAGAAGATTACTACCGAGTGGCAACCATAGTAATCCTCTTGGAAACCTTAAGAGAATTGCCCACCAAAAGTCAAAAAGTCATGTGCGTTCACACTCCATCTCCCTCTGAGTCTGTGTGCACTGAAATGCATTAACAGCTGAAGTAGTCTCCACCCCACCTGTTGAAGGCTTCAAGAAGAGGCGGGAAAGTCACGCAGAGATCCATGGCCTACCCACATGCAGCTGGAATACGAACCAAACAGATGAAATCTACTGCTGTCACGCCATTCCAACTATTTTACCTCTGCAACCAGTTTTCTTACTACTGTAACCATGTGAGCCCTATTCATCCCTTCTGCTTGCCAAGAATTGGCCTTACCTACCCAAGTTCTTCACACCTTTGCACCCCTTTCCGCCTGACTTGGTTGTAAGTAGATTACTTTACTTTTCTTTTCCCTTTTTCTCACACAAATTCTCCTTTCTAGGTTCTCCCTTCACTATCCCTAACTCTCTCTAGCGGCCAGTCCGAAAAACTGTCTAGCAACTGGACATCTGAAGAAGCCAACTGCACCACAGTACGGGGCAAACAAACCAACTTCCGGCTCTGTACATCAGAGCTATAGCAGACGAGTGGGTGGATCCACTTCACTGGAACTCACCAAAGACCTGGAACCGTTCCGCAAGACCAAGAAGCGAGCAAGAAGAAATCAACTGGTTTATACAACCTCGTTAAAAAGATATTGGATAGTGGAAATTGCATTGCCTATATGCTGCTCATACAGTATGGATAACGTGAAATGCATACCAGTTTTACAGACACGGTCACTTTGCGAGTCTGAGGCAAAATTTATTGTGAGTAGGGGATGGAGAGTATATTCCCTTGGTCAGGTAACTTTCAACCAACTTCGCTTATATGTACTGGTTACTGACGAATGCAGTCAATGAGAAATTGTTGAACCCCGCGGGATTTCTTTTCCGGTTTTGTTGTTGGAGCATTACGTTTTGTTGGCACACATCGGTTAGGATATTTCAGGGCACAAGAATTCTTCCGTTGAAGTCAGATTAGGTTAATATTCCTCAGTATGTATGTATCTACTTTGGAATTTGTTAGCAGCAACCACTGTTACGCAGAGGGAACTGAAATTATCGCCCACGCTGACCTACGGTGTTTGCTAGTTGAATCACAGTGGTCCTAACAATGAATGTCTCCTTGGTTTATTTACGGTCAACCACATAAAGGTCGAACTCGAACATATCCATTTCCATCAGCAACCTAATTGTTGATACCGACTGAAGCTGGCTGGCTGGTGTCTATGAACCAGTGTGCCGTAAACTGAATGGTTAGTTTGGGAACAACTCGAAAAAAACACGGCAGAGGTTGGGAGAGCTTTCACCCATTCTGCTAGTGAAATCTGCAGATCAAAGTTTGTGCCTTCCAACAACTAAGTTTATCCGGTAATGTCAAATGGAAATTGTGTATTAAATCTGCAGCTGGTCTGTTTGAAAACGTCTAATATACCTGTTCAATTTTTTATATGACTTTATCCCCGATGTAAAGTCCCTGAGATACTGTCGTTTTTCTTATTATCCAAAGCACCACTCATCCACCCGAAGCAGACAGTGTGAAACAGGAGACAACATGAAGTAATAAATATGATGTCACATTGATTACAAAACAACAGATTTGAAGCCCGTAAAAAGGAAATAGAATATTCTGTACTGATACATTTAAATGAGCATTACATTATAAGGTCAGTGTCAAATAAATCAATAAATACAACATGAAGTGACTGTTTCACACAGCCCCAAATTTTACAGCAACTGTAGTTTATAGTCTTGAAACACAAAAGCACCGTGAAATGTAAGCATTATGAAAGGAATAGTATGATATCACACAGAATAAATAAGCAAGATAAGTGATCCTAACATGAGTGAAGTTAAGACATACAAAAAGAGTAAATGTTCAGTAATATTTCAAGAGATGCAAAAATGCAGCTAATATTTATGATCATGCAAGCATGAGAGATAACATGAACACTTTCGTTCACACTGTCTCTTGGTTATTGCCGATCAACGGACCACAAATATGAATTTGGTTCTTAACTTTTATCTTGGCAAGAAGGGTGAGGGGTCTCTCAGCATGTATAATCACGTAGATGCAAATTTTAGTAGCCAAGATCTTTTGCAAAGGTATGTAATAGATTGTCGTACTGTAGTAAGCAGTAATAAAACTATCTGGAAACTAACTGACTGGATATGTTCGCCTGACTTCAAGTATGTGTATTCTAGCTCAGGTACCTTCATATTCCTTTGAGGATGTAAAAGTCGCTGAACCACCATCATGAGACAGCGTTAAAGCGGGAGATGCAAATGAAGGTAACGTAGGATGTTTTAGCGACACCGTTTACTTCAGTAGTTGTAACCAGACAGGTAGTATTTCAAGATGGTCCAAGTAAACAAATATGGATCCACAAAGTGAACGTCAAATATGGTATGCAATGCCAATATTAGCCCCAATTTAGAACCCAGATATAGCAGATAACGTCTGGGTTCCAGTAAGCAAGTAAGCATATTCCGCTGAAATAAATGTCAAATACTAGAAAGAAATTCTCTACAGAAACTCTGGTGAGTTACAGCTATTTGGACTTCAAGCAGATTCACTGAAATCTTTATGCACTTGTTTAAGTCTTGTCGTTTCGGCGAAGTTGACATCCATGCTTCCAATCCAATGCAAGTTCACGTTTGACGATGCGTCAACTACATTGTTTTTGTTTCCCTGCAAGAACGGTGTCTTGGTTGTGATTCGAGAAATGAACTCTAGATGTTGGAACTGTCTTACAGAATAATTACCATCCCTATTTCTTATGGCCTTCATGAGAGATGAATAATTTGTATATTCGACAAATGACGTTGTCATATATTAGAAATGTTTAACCGACAGAATGTACGATGTATCATGTGGACATAATCTAGCCGTCTACATAAAATGTAGCAAGTGATATTTACCAACAGAAATCCCCTGAAAATCTGCTGCAATGGCTACATCTGATACATCTGTCAAGATTATCAAAGATGCGTTTACACCACAAAGTACCAACAAATTTTGAGAGTTCAAAGCCTGTCTCAAATTATGAAACGCTTCGACTGCTGTATCAGGCATCTGTAGCATTTTCATTCCACCCTTCAGTAAACCCATAAGCTTTTGAGTTAAACGTGCACAATAGGGAATGAAATGACGATAAAAATTATTCTCACCGACGCACTTGATTAGTCTACGAATTTGGTAAAGGGTATAACTTACTACCTATCACTTCTCCGAACACTGACTTGACGTCATCCTCGCTAATAATGCGTCTAGAAAATTGAAGAGACACTTTTTGGAATTCACATTTTTGTGAATTGATGTTGATGCCGTATTCATGTAGCCATTGAAAAAACGTTCAAAGATGCTTGAGATAATTATTGTCTAAGGTTTAGCGGCCAGAATCCAATAATCTTGGCCTGAACGCGGGAAATAACTAGGCGGTGCCAACTGACGTGAATCTGACTAGTTCCTGCGTTCTACTGTATAGCTTCCTAACTTCCGCGAGTGACGCACAGTCAAAGGTTGGATCAAAATATCAAAACACGGTTTGTAGTAATTCAGTAGTAGATTCGTAACAAAATCTGTGGTACTATCAAAGCAACAATAAGTTATGTCAAAATTACAAAAATACCTCAACAGTGCCGTTGGGTAACTATACAGTCCAAAACGTTCTCGCGTGCAAATACGTACTGTTGGTCAATGGGAATATTCCCGACAAAAGGGATCAAAACTCTGCCTACCAGAATCAAGCCAACAAACAAACGTTCCCAGTAGACAGTCAAAAGACAAACAGTCAAATCACAGCACAACCGTAAATTGAACCAAAACAAAATGTCGGGCGCAGTAAAACAACATCACCTTGTCAACAGTCCAGCATCACATAATAGGGAAGTGAAACATTCATGATAAGTCTCAAACATACAAAGGCAAATACAGAGTGTAAAGTCAAATAAGACAGTCAGACAAGCAAATAACATTACACCGGCTAGGGTCAGAGGTACACCATCCATAACGAAGGTAAAAATGCTAAAATAAATGTAAATACAATCAAATAAGGGTGATCGGGGGGGATTTTCAGATCAATTTTCCGTTAAGTAAGGTGCTTACCACCGACAAGTCAATAATAGTATAAGCGTAGTCAGAAGATAAACCATGAAGTACTTGGTCCATGAATTATTTAAAAGTCCTGGCCACGTTGTGAGACCAAAAGGCACTCGGATGACCTCAAATAATCCCAAATGAGTGGTAATTGATGTTCTTGGAATGTTATAGACGTCAACACTCACACTAAGGTATCCTTATACCAAACCAATCCTAAGGATGTTTGCACTGAACACGGAATTAGTGAGATCAAGGGTACTTATCTGCAACCAGTTGTTTGTTCAGGGCCACTCAGTTACACCATAATCGTATCCATCCCGATTTCTTAGGAACTCGTTGCAACTATGATGACTAGGAGCTCTGTGGTTGTCGTACAACTCCCAATTGCAGGAGTTTATCGAACTCCTGTTTGGTTGTAAGCAACTTTTTCGCATGTAACCGGCCCAGTCTTGATGAGATCATTGAACCCTTAATATCTATGTGTGCTCAAGCTTCATGTCCGTATTTACAGGGGTGCCAGCATGTCAAATCATAGTTCACCAAGGAGATTGTTTAAGTTTATGTGACGATTTATTTCTGTAAGCACTTGACGACAGTTGCATACTGAAGATTTTAACTTGTTCACATAATATCTGTATTTTCTGGTATTATTTCGTGATTTTACCTGCTTGTGAAATACGTGTGGCCTTTGATACTGAGGAAGATCCCATTTTTTTTCGTGGATCCCATCTGCAATCACTGCTAGTTTTTCTATGTGAAAGCCATCACTTCCAAAAGCCAGTATCTATTGTATTTTTTTTGAAGAGACTGCTCGAGCTACATCTGATAACAGAATCTGCTATCTAATGTTCTACCACCTGGTTAGCTATGCATCAAGCTCTTTAACTGAGATAGAGCTCTGCCACTCGACTGAACATTACTGAGGAGATTATCTACAATCATTTGGTCAGATAACTGAGTAGCTCCTAAGACTACCAGCTTTAATCCATAACGACGTTCTTTAGAGTCAGTTTTTGTGTGGAAATCTCTAAATAGTTCCGCAGCATCATCCAAAAATAAGGTGCTGACATAGTCAAACGTAACGTTTTGTGACGTAATTTCGTTGACTGCCATAAAGTGCTCAAAACCACAAAATTGGATCTCTAACTTTGAAACCACAAACTCGGAATCAGAGGAAACCGATAAATTATCGTTTTATGATATGACAGGTAGTGACCAAGATTACACTGAGAAAGCACGGACACAAAGACTCAGCAAATTATTAACATACTGTTCAAAATGCAGTCAACGAATGAATTGTTGTGATACAAATACTTTAATATTAGTTTTTTATAAGTCAGACGGATGAGTTTGTAGCGTCACACACTTCCCCAAAACCAATAGCCTAGAGTTTGACGAGATTCCACATTGATGCTGACCTTGATAGTTTAACTGGACTCGATAAGCTGAAGACACCCGGTCAAGTATCCTCACCATTTGGCACGCTGTCGTCTTACATTGGACTGCTCGTAATCGACTCTCTAGCTAGTTAGCTGGGACGCATTAGTATCTTGGCACGACCTCGCAAATATGCTGTTTCATCCGATTACGCTTTTGTGTTCTTTTTTGGTCTCGTATTCGTGGGTATATAACAAGTTTGAATAATTAGTGATTGGCCTTAGCGTCTGTCAAGTTGGCATTAAGACAATTCCTAAAAGTTCTTAACTTGTCACTAATGTCCACAGTAATCCAATATATAATCCATAATCTGTTACTGGATTGCTGTGCTACACATCTGCTGGAAGTTACACAAAAGTTACTGCTTACCAGTATTGATGGAAATTCGCACCTCCTTCCAAGTGCTTTCACGTTTTCTTAAAGCTCTAAAGGTTGTTGAATCACCAATGTCAGACATTATAAAATCAGGTGAGGCAGATTAAGGCAGTTTAGAATGTATTGCAGTCCAATTCAAAGTTCATAACCGGATAAGCATTATTCGAGTACGGTCAGATAATGTCAAAAAACTTTTGGTCTTCGATTATTTTTCTTAATTCCGCTTTGAGTCTATACGTACGTTTGCAAGAGACAACCAAAGAGAATCGGAAATTTGGCTGGTTCCAAAACTGTGTCTCAGGTAGGTTGTGAAGCTTGTGAACAAGATACTTTTAAAAACCTTCGTACAAAAAGATCGCAACGACCAGCTGTTGGTAGGTTTATGTTTACCTGTGGTACGGTTTTTCAAGAAGGGGGGGTGGAAGAGTATGCATGAGCTTAGCAGTGGTGGTCTACTCAGCCAGCATGAGAATCTGAAAGGGAAATGAAGAGTCAGAGAATGAGCAAGCACAATGCACTTACTTTTATGATAAAAGGCAGTCGACATATGATAACAGTTCCCCAAGAGAAGACAAGGCGATCCGAGAATCGAATCCAGAAATTTGGTGAGTAGGATTTCAAAAGAGTCTTAAGATGACACGATGACCATTATTCCCTTGTTGCATCCTACCAATTAATAAACGACAGTGTAAGTGTATCAAGTGACAATGACCTTATGTAATTACTGGATGCTGGCCTCTAGAATATTGTAATCAGCTTTTTAAGAACTCGACCAATGGAATGTTCTTCTGTCAGTCAGTCATATAAAGAATAAATATTAGTAACGGTAAATGTAGTGATTCGTGAAAACTATAAAGTTTTATGAAAAAAATGTGCATTTTCTATGCAAAATTAAGCCGTTTAGTGCTTAAATAATAATGCAGTAATCTAGTAAAGCAAAAGATGGATTTTCGTATCTATGCCAAGAAAATGATTCAGAAGTTCTGCTTCAGCATTACTTCAGCATTGTTTGATAATGGGCCAACTGGATATGGCTGTGCCATGTATGACTGATAGCATTTTAGAAAGTGATGAATTTAGGGCGTAATTGTGACCGTGGCTAGCATCAAACTAGAACAATGAAAATTTACAAGTGATGTTACTGTGCTTACATACTTGCTATAAGTTATTCACCTTGTAACGACCAGCTACTAATAGGTTTCTGTCTAGCCTGTAGATTGATAGGTACGATTGTTATTGCAAGGGGCGTGTAGAGCAGTGCGAGTTTTACCGATGACCGTAAAGATCTGGAAGGAAAAAGAGAGAGAGAGAGAAAAACGCAAGCCGACGACTCAGTGAGTACAACTTCATAGACATCAACCAAAAAACCCAATACTAGAAATTTCCTTTCTAAACTACTCTATTTAAGTTATAATAACAAGCTTAAAGACTGTTTCTGTTTTGTGTAAGTCAGGAATTTCGATAACGTGTCAAACGGCAAATAGATTAAATTGATTAGTTAATTACTGGTACAAGGATTAGAGTTCCTATGAAATTTCTTATGTAGTTAATTAGTAAGTGAGTCAGTTAAGACATTTATGTCGCAGGATAAATGAAACAAAAATATTATGGCCTATTTTCACGCAAATAGAAACTATAATTATATCTGTAGAATCGATATTACCGTTTAAACCAACGAAACAGTTTTCACAGGTATCAAAGAGTAGAATGTAAATAAAATTACAGGAAAATCAATCAAAGATATAAATAAATGAAAGTGAATTTCTTCTACAAGAGGATACTATAACTGGCAGGGTATATATCAGCAGATAGTATACCAAGTAGCATTGAAAAAACAGATGATGCATTACATTTAATATATTTGCATCAACACATTTACTTATAATTTCATTTTAGTCTGTTTATTAGAAATGTCACACAGTGAAACAGTAACATTTACTGGATAACTTTTCGGACATAATTTATTGTCCATATTCATATCAGGTAACTCCACAACTTCGAGACAGTCTTTATATATTCCTAGTTTTCTCTCCTTATCTGTGATGACAAGGATAGTAGAATTTTGCATATATCTGGGATAGGTGCAGAATCATTTCGATTGCATGTGTTTGGTGTTGATTCGATAAACAAAGAATCAGTTATCAATCTCTCCCTCCCTCCCTCCACCCAACTAAGTTAGTTTTCAAAACTGTTACCCT